TATTTATTTCAGCCCTCTTCAACAGTATTAAATCCTGTTAGGTTAGTCCAGAAAAAAAAAGCCATTGGATTTTTTTCTTCTTCTTCTTCCCTAATACCTTTGGGTTATACTACCAAAATAATAGCAGCTTAAGGAGGGCTACTGACTTCACTATAAATTGTGTGCATGGGTTGCAGGTCCAGCCTCTTTTCTGTACCTCCCTTCTGAAGCTCTTCTTTTTGCTATTTTAATTGATATTTCTTGAATGTAGTTGATGGCCATTTGTTTTCACCCACATTTGTTTTCTATACCTGGCCATTTGTTTTCTATACCTCTCGTGGTATTTCTTTACATCTCCTTGAATAACTATAATGTTAGAACCTAGTCTCAGGATTAGTATTTACATGAGCTGTTCCTCCTGTCCTGTGCTGTTGGATCAAAGTGGTGACATTGGTGCTGGAACCTAAAGCACTGTTGTAGAGATATCAATCCACCTTGTGGTACTTAGTACTGGGGTTCATGATAACTTGCAGTGGACAATACAATGCCACTGTTGGGTAAATATAAATATACTGCAAGAGTGTCATATGATGGAACCCCTGAGGACATCTTGTTGAACCCTAGGGTTCCATTGAACCCTTGCTGAGATTCCCTGATTTAGAGTACTTGAAAGAGAGATCAGAATTCCCACAAAGAGTACTTTCCTCAGTGGAAATCAGATAGAAGTTTATAAAGAAGTAAGCACAGAGGATGATTTACTAAAACTGGACAGTGCAAATCTGGTGCAGCTGTGCATGGTAGCCAATCAGCTTCTAACTTCAACTTGTTTAATTAAGCTTTGACAAAAAAAACACTGGAAGCCAATTGGTTTCTATGCAGAACTGCACCAGATTTTGCACTCTCCCATTTTAGTAAATGAACCCACTTTTTTGGTATTGGATATTGACTTAGAGACATTTGTGTGTAGCCTTTTATGCTACTCTTTTCTTTCATGGGATGGAAAGGATGAGACAGGCAAATATTATTTCAGTTCATCAACAGGGAATTCTGACATATCACCATGAAGAATTTCTGGTGGCATTGTGATTATTACTTGCGATTTTAGATCAAATTCTTTTAAAATACTTATAATTTCGCTTTGTAACATAATGAAGGTGGCAGGTGCAATTATTTAGAGAATACATGGAAATCTACACTGTAGTAGAGAAGTGAAGAAAAAGCAGTCTTGAGAAATACAATTTCCTCCTCTGTGATGCTACCTGTTTTCTTTTCTTTTCTTTAGAAGCCCCCTCAGGCATCTTTCTTTTAAGCCACTCCCGGATAAACCTGTTTTTTAGGAATGTTTACCTAAAAACAGATTTCTTAGCAGTTACAAAACTGCTTTAGGGTATCTATTCCGACATTCATCATATTGGCACCAGAAAACAAAGCAAATAAAGTTTTTAATCCAAATCTGTCGGTATATCTTAAATTTAAGTTAAAGTTATGCATCTATGTATATATGGCATACATTTGTATATGTATGTTACTGTTGGCATTGTAAGATATGATAGGTATATTATCTCCAACAGTTAAAGTGATATTAAAGGTAATTAAAAAAAAACAGCAAATATGTTATATTTACCTGGTCTGTGCAGCAGTTTTGCGTAGAGCAGCCCTGACCCTCCTCTTCTCAGGTCCTCTGCTGGTGCTCCCCTGCCTCCTGCCGAATGCCCCCAGAGAAAACAGTTTGCTATTGCGCCACTGCTTTGTGTGTCCATTTACACACAGAGCCATGGTCCTGCCCCTACTCTCTCCTCATTGGCCTACTGGCTGTGATTGACACCAGCGGGAGCCAATGGCTCAGCCATAGAGAAGGGAGAGTCTCCATAGAACCGAGGCTCTTGTGTATACCGCTGGATCGCGATGGGGCGCAGGTATTGGGGGGGGGGGGGGGGGGGCTGCTGCACACAGAAAGTTTTTTACCTTCATGCAGAGAAAGCAAGGTAAAATAAAGTGAAACTCTACAACCACTTTAATTATTAAATTGCTCTCCTATTACTTGGAATCCATAAATCTACCTACTGGTACTCTACAGCCAGCCATAGATGGATTGAAATTCTGCCAGGTTAGCAGGACAGGGAAAGAGAGTAAATTCCTTTTACATAGTTACATAGTTAGTCTGGCTGAAAAAAGACAAAAGTCCATCCAGTTCAATCATAGCAAAAAAAAAGTTATAAGCCTATACCCACTGTGTCCAGAGGAACTCATAAAAAACCCAGCAAAGCATGATCCAATTTGCTCCTACAGGGAAAAAATTCCTTCTTGATCCCCCGAGAGGCAATCGGATATTCCCTGGATCAACTTTACCTATAAATGTTAATAACCAGTTATATTCTGTGTATCTAAGACATAATTCAGGCCTTTTTTTAAGCAATCCACTGAGCTGGCCAGAACCAACTCTTGAGGGAGTCTATTTCACATTTTCAAAGCTCTCACTGTGAAGCAACCTTTCCGTAAAATGCAGTAAAAAAGTGACAGTTGTTCTAACCCTCCCCAACTTTATCTTAAATTATAAAAAAAAAGGTTTAGGGTTGACTTACTGTATAGTTTAAAGGAAAAAAAAATCTGTATACTATAAAAAAAAGTTCCTCCTTTTAAAGTGGAACTTTGCCTAGGTAAAAAAAATGAGCAAGCAGTAAAGTTTTGTTATTGCAGAAGAGACATACTATGTTTGCAAAATTTTGGAATGTACACTGAGGTGCGCATGGGCAGCTCAGTGTACATTTTTAGCCATTCTTCATGGCGGGATAGATAAACTTCCGTGTGCATGAACTGGGATTACTTCAACCCGGACCAGCCAATCAAGATCATCAAAAATGCTGAACCTGAAATAAAACCAGGAGAGGATGTAGGTGCCAGCGAGGCAGCTTGGGGACGTCACACTGCTGGAGGAGACGTGAGTATTTGCAAACTCTTGTTGTGCTTTAAAATTTAAAGCACCATCTGTACAATCATGGCAAAAAGTAATGGTCTTTCATCAGCCTTTGAGATTTTCCAAAACTCTTGTCACTGCTGTAAAAATGTGCTGCATATTATTTGCTACTGGTTTCATTCTTACTAAGCATAAAACTGAATCAAACACTCTCAAAACACTTTTTTCAGCAGTTGTGTCTCTGCCGCTGTTCTGAAATGTAAGGTCAAATGGGAACATCTAAATATTGAAATAATAAGCAGACTCAATCAGTACACCAGTGCCGATACAATAGTTAAGGCCAACGTGCAGGAACCCATAGCAACAAATAATCAGAATTTTGACACAGTTCTACAGACAATTCCACTTTGCTCTTATTCTTACTAAATACACAATAAGGGTGGTTTATGACATCTCAAGGGGCTTCAACAAAAATCTAAATTAATAACAAACGTTTGTACATTCATCAACAAAAATCTAAATTAATACCAAACGTTTGTACATTCATCACTTATAAGTACCACTACGCTACACTATACTATTATTTCATGACTAAACAGTATAATTCATATCTTGGGGTACAGATTGAGATGATTGTTTATTATAATATTCCTCTGTATGTTTAGTAAGTACATAATAAACACGTATAAGCATGCAGTATTAATTTTTGTTTTATTTCTTTTATGCCATATAGAGTAGATCAACACATTCTAAAAGGTAGCCTTTTATTAATGTTTAGAAGGCCGCAATTCTTTTAAGGTGACCCCAATATAACCTAATTAAAATCTTTAGTGTCATTGCTAACTAGTTGCCCATGGTTTCCCAATGCCAATCTTTACACATGATCTATAGGACAGGTATATACTGCTTGCTGTGGAATTCTGGATGAAAAAGCTGCAACTCATAGTACAAGGCTAGTTGCGCAGGACATCTGTTAGGAAGTAGTGGAGAGAGAACAAGGGAACAATACTCATCAGCAAAAATGCTGCAGTATTGTAGAAGGCGAATGGGGAGTATATATATATATATATATATATATATATATATATTATGTATATATTGTGAATGGCACAAATGCTTATTCAAGAAGCCAGTGAAGGGATGTAAGCAATGCTGTGGGCAAATCCACCCTTTGTTGAAAGCAAATGGAAATTAAAAAAATATCTGCTGTAGATCCTTGTCAAGTCAATCTCGATAGGAGTTTGTTGTAATCTGTCAATCTAACAGAGGCTTTTGCTGAAGTTTGCACCAGGATAATATGCAACACCCCATTTATGACTGTGGGTTGATGTGAATTAAAACCAATATTTTCAGCAGCATTCTCATAAAACATGCCATATCTCTATCTAAAAATATGCATTCTTTGTAACAGGGCAGCAATCTCTAGTAATATGGAAGCACTCTGCTCATAAATCTGACCATAGGCTCAATTTCTTTCTCTTGTTTTCATGTATATTACAAACTCACATAAAACACTTTATTTGATCAGGTTTGTAAATAAAGGTAGTTTACCACTACAGGTGGTAATGGATCACTGTCAGTGTTGTTATATCCCATTTGATAAAATCTAAAAGTTCATTCACAAATCTTATTACCCTTAAAATAACAACCAGGGCGGACTGACCATTCGGGCACTCGGGCACTGCCCGAGGACCTGGGGTCACTAGAGGGCCCCATGAGAGGCTCAGTCTGTCCTCTGAGATATGCCACTGCTGAAAGGAAAAAAAAGGAAGTATTGCAACAGGGCAGCACCGTGGCAGGCACTTCAGGACACCTCTCCTCGGAGTTTCCTCAGAGGGTCGGGTCCCACATCCCTGCCACAGGACAGGCAGCCAGAGAAGAGAGCGGAGTCATCGTTGTGCTGACCTGCCCTGTATCCTGCAGCAGGTCAGTGTGTAATCCCCCGACCCCCGGTGACACTGACAGCACTGCAGCTAAACCGCCTCCCACCCGCCATATAAGGAAATGACAGGCGGGCGTGGTTCTCTTGTTCTGGGAGGACATCACATGACACCCTCCAAGTCCAACGATCGGTGGTGCACTGTGTCCCTGGGATACAGCGGATCACTGATCAGTGGAAAGAGCCGAAGACATCGGCTCGGTCATGTGATCAGCTGTGTCCAATCACAGCTGATCACATGTAAATAAGGAAATGCCGGTTACCGGCATTCCTCTCCTCACCACGCTGTCATTCCTCAATTGTCATTCCTCAGAAGGGACATCTACACTGATCATCAGGGCACTGATCCCCCTGATGATCAGTGTAGCCCTATCAGTGCCACCTGTCAGTGTCCATATAATGTCACCTGTCAGTGTCTGTCAATGCCACCTGTCAGTGCCAATCAATGCACATCAATGCCATATATGATTGCTAATCAATGCCACATATCAGTGCCAATCAATGCCACATATCAGTGCCTACCAGTGCACATAAATGCCACATATCAGTGCCCATCTGAGCTGCCTATCAGTGCTAGTCAGTGCTGCCTATGAGTGCTGCCAATCAGTGCCGCCTATCAGTGCCCATCAGTGCCACCTAACAGTGCAGTCAGTGCTGCCTATCAGTGCCACCTGTCAGTGCCATATATGAGTACTGCCTTTCAGTGCCCATCAGTGATGTCTGTCAATGCCCATCAGTGCCACCTACCAATGCATCCTCATCAGTGCCCATCAGTGCCGCCTATCAATGCCCATCAGTGCCACCTTATCAGTGCCCATCACTGCATCCTCATTAGCGCACATCAGTGAAGGAGAAAAATTACTCATTTACAAAATTTATAACAGAAACTAAGAAAAAAAACTTTTTTTTCAAAATTTTCAGTTGTTTTTTGGTTAGTTTAGCAAAAAATAAAAACCCTGAGGGGATTAAATACCACAAAAAAGCTCTGTCTCAAAAAAATGATAAAAATTTCATACAGGGACAGTGTTGCATGACCGCACAATTGTCATTCAAAGTGTGACAGCGCTGAAAGTTGAAAAGTTGAAAATTGGCCTGGGCAGGAAGGGGGTATAAGTGCCCGGTAGGCAAGTGGTTAATAGTAGTCTTCTATTCTATATTCCCTATATAAAACAGTGATATCTGTACACTGAGTGGCACTCAGTGTACAGATATCAGTGTTATATATAAGGAATAGAACTCAGTGTACAGATATCAGTGGATATATACAGTGGCTTGAAAAAGTCTTCCTCACGACTGAAATGTCCCCCATGTTGTCATGTTACAATGTATCCCCCCCGAAATGTCCTCCATGTTATTATGTTACAATGTATCCCCCCCGAAATTTCCTCCATGTTGTCATGTTACAATGTATTCCCCCGTGAAATGTCCCCCATGTTGTCATGTTACAATGTATCCCCCCCCTGAAATGTCCCCCATGTTTTCATGTTACAATGTATTCCCCCCTGAAATGTCCCCCATGTTGTCATGTTACATGTATCCCCCCCCTGAATGTTCCCCATTTTGTCATGTGACAATGTATTTATTGGGATTGGATGTGATAGACCAACACAAAGTGGCACATAATTAGTGGAAGGAAAATGAGAAATGGTTCCAACATTTGTGACCAATAAATCTGTGAAAAGTGTGGTGGCATTTGTATTCGGCCCCCTGGAGTCAGTATTCTGTAGGACCCCCCTTTTGGCTGCAATTCCATCTGCAAGTCTTTTTGGGGATGTCTCTCCCAGCTTTGCACATCTAGAGAGGGACATTTCTGCCCATTCTTCTTTGCAGAATCACTCAAGCTCTGTTATTGGATGGAGAGCATCTGTGAACAGCAATTTCCAGATCTGGCCACAGATTCTCCATTGGATTTTGGTCTGGACTGTGACTGGGCCATTCTAACACATGAATATGCTTTGTTTAGAAAGTTTGGAGACCCCAAATTTAGATCAAAGGGCCAGTTTACTGTCCTTCAGGTTTTTGGGGGCTGGACTGTGATCTTTGGTATCTGAAATTGTCCTGGCATCAGCGGGAGTAATCCATGCATCTTTAGTATTAGGGGGAGGAATAGCATCCCACCTTTGGTGTCAATGGGACGAATAGCGCCCCATCATTGGTATCAGTAGGAGGAATAATGCCTTATCATTCATGTCAGTGAAAGGAATTCTGTCTTATCATTGGTGTGAGTGGGAAGAATAGTGCCCCATCATTGGTGTCAGTGGGAGGAATAGTGCCACATCATTGGTGTCAGTGGGAGGAATAGTGCCCTATCATTGGTGTCAGTGGAAGGAATAGGAAAAATTCATTAAAATCTTCATTTTGAAATGTACCATTGTTGCACTCTCTTTAATGTGTTTTTTTTTCTTTATTTTGTGTAATAAATATTTATTTTGAACATACTGTAGAGAAATTCTGTGACAAATGCATGTATTGCGGGCAGTGTAATATGTAGGTGGGGCTTTGTGTGGGTGCGGCTTGAGTGGGCAGGGACACAGGGGGCCTCATGATCTCCTATTGCCCAGGGGCCCCATGGGTTGTCAGTCCGCCCCTGATAACAACTTCAGGTTTGTAATAACTGGAAGTTTGTGGAGGAGAGAAAGCAAAAGAGCTATTTGAGGTGGTGGCAAATAACACTTCAAAATGTAAAACACTGGGGTTGATTCACTAAAACTGGAAAGTGAAAACTCTGGTGCAGCTCTGCACAGAAACCAATCAGCTTCCAGGTTTTATTGCTAAAGCTTAACTGAACAAGCTGAAGATAGAATCTGATTGGCTACCATGCACAGATGCACCAGATTTTGCTCTCTCCAGTTTTAGTAAATCAACCCCATTGTTTTCGAGAAAATAGGGCTTTCCACAGAATAATGTTAATTTGACACAAAAATATAAAGATGACAAACCTTGGTGACACTGATTTTTGTGAACTGAATTTTTTAAGAGAAAATTATCATAAGATAAAAAAGTGTGTTATAATAACACTTAGTGTATCGAACCTATAATATGGTAAAACAGAAACATTTTATTATCACAAAATGTATGGGTTTCTAAAAAGTTAAAGATATAAAGTAAGCATGGTTTTATGTTAAATGGTACCAAAAGAAAATAATGATGGTCCACTTCTCCTGCCACTCCCTCGGCAACCAATCTCCTCCACATCACAAGGGCTACACGTGAATCTTTGCTGCAGCTCAAATGCTTGTGATGTGGAGGAGATTGGACACCTGGGGAAAAACGGGGAGAGATTGGATGAGGCAAGTCTTCCTTTCAAATAAAAGCTGTCAAGTAACCAGTGGGAGCTCTGGTAGTGCCTCCTGGTTACATAGTATAGATGAGGTTGGATGCTGTGGGGTTTGGCTCCCACTAGGCTCCTTCTCCAGCAGGCATTGGCCGGATTGGTGTAACTATGATGTGCAGCCCACTCGGCTCCTTCCCCAGACAAAAAAGACAGGGAACAGGCATCTCCCCATGTTGTGCAATGTGTGAGACCCCTCAGTCTTGTGACCTCTGTGCACTGTATACATTGTACCCATGAATGATACACCACTGCTTCTCCTACATGCCACTATGTATGAATCCAGCACAAATTCATGGAAAGGCTTGTACTTGTTTCTTAAAAAAACTAGTTGCTGAGTTTCTAATATTCAATTATTATATTTTTACAAAGAACTGACCCTAAGCCTATCTGCCTGGAGTGCATGAATAACAAAATCATAAAATAACAAAAGTTGCTAACACGTTTATGTAAACCCCAACAATACGTTTCTTTTATTTGCTCCCTTTTGGTCTGTTAAAAATGCCATTGAAAGTGTTTTATTATAGTCCACAAGTGCAAAAAAAAAATAGCGTTTAATGCAGCCAGAATCTTGTGAGTTGATAACTACTTGTACTCTCTGCCTCTAAATTGAAGTATTTAGCATTGTTGCCTGCCTGTTCTGAAGTAGAAAACACCTACCCCTGTTATGAAGAAGAGAGGGAGTTATATAGTGTAGTTCTAGAACACTCCCGGTTCTAGGGTGACAACGCTGTGGTTTTCACCCTAGGACAGGTAATGACAGTATTAGTTTTAACTGCATTGTTTTCTTATTACATCTATTCTTTGTTATATCTGTATCAAACGGACAGGATAAAGATACTTGTATGATATTCACTTGAGTGTCTGAATTAAGGTTTTTGAGACATACTAACATCTCCTTGCCCTTTCTCTAACACTGTGCCTCAGGTCCTCAGGTTTATCTTATCTTTTCACTCTGTCTTATCAGTCTTCTCTCCCTTGTCTGTAAACATTTTTCCTTTTATTCCTTTTTTTTAACATTTGTCAAGTTATAACCCTTGTGTTAATCCCAACACCAGCCAGGGGCTATCATTCTTCCAGCATATGTACATGGACCAATAAAATCAAGCACTGCTGCAATTTGAAGGCCACTTGCATTAATCAGGCTGTGTGGAGGAACAGTAACATACATTTTCAATCCTTAAAAGGAAGATATATACAGGAATGAGAGAATTTTGTATTATGCACACAAAGTCTGTACCTACTGTACAGTGCTCAGCATAAATGAGTACACCACAACAGATTTGTCAGAAAACCTTTACTTTCCTTTCAGAATCAACATTTTCTGTGGGACACTATGCTACAAAATACTCTCACAAATGCGGGCCATTAATTGCAAACAAGATTAGTAAATCTGCACACAGAAAAAAGTATTTTTCCTAACATATTCATTCAAGACCATGTTGCAAAAATAAATACATCCCAATAAAAGTCTTGGAGCAAAGCTAAATTTTAGACAACAAAATCCTAATTAACAAGAATTCAACTACAGGTGAGTCTAATTATTCATTAAACAGGTATCCAGCAGACAGTTGGTTATAAAAGGGCTTACTTATCCTTCCTAGCGGTAATCCCAAATGTAGCTCGGGGTTAAATTACAGTAACAAAAGCGTTAACCCCGAGCCACACTCAGGATTACTCTATAGTGCTTCTCCTGTGATCCCCCGATCCTTACCTTGTCCTGTGATCACGCGATATCCTCCCGCTGTGTCCCCAGCCATGTCCTCTGGCCAATGCCGGCACCTGTTTCTCGGGTTCCATTTCCTGTGAGCATTGGGACGTAGGGGGGCAGAACCAGCGGGAGATTCAAAAAAGTTAAAATAGGACATACACACAATACATTGTAATCTGTTAGTATTACATTACTGTATCAAACCATTTCACCTCACTTTTGTCCCGAGTGCTTTGTCCTGTGCCCTGCCTGCACTTTTACCTTTTTTTCTGCCTGGAAACTTGAGAACGTCCATGGCATCCAAAAAGCATCCCTTTAGGTCAAAAGTGGTTATAGACCAGCTAGAAAACAGCGATAGTAAATTAGAACCACTTGCAGAATTGAGCGATAGTGATTCGTGGGGAAATTCGTCATCAGACACTGAAAACGATTCTGTGACTAAGCTCAGTGAGGTGCGAACTTGATGTTCTATTTAAAATTTCAGTGTTTTTGGTTTGATTACATTATTGAATTAAATTTATTATTATATTATTTTTTTTAATTATTTATTATATTATAATATATGAT